CAACCATAGTTTGGAGTATTCGGATTGGAGTTATCGGGTTAATGGCGTATGTAGGTATTGAGATTGCGCTCGTCGATGCGCTCCAGCGCGGCCAATCTATATTAACGCGATGCGAACAAAACGCGAAAAAAAAGATCGATTATTGAATTTAATCGTTTGTTCCCAATCAATTTCGAGAATTAACTTTCGGTCACAATTGATTATCGAAAAAAATGTAGCATTCACGTACGAAAATGGGCGATTTTTACGGCAGGCGAAAACGAGGCTTAATTAAAAATACGAATGGATAAAAAAGAAACATGGGATTTTCGGGACCACCGCCGTGACGCCGCGATGCATTGGAATAGCGCCATTAAGGTCAAGTATAGAACGTCTCCTTGTCTAAAGTTGGCTCCTACGCTTTCAGGAAGGTTCGAACACCGGAGCATATGCTCGCCGCATGCAAAGCAAAGTGACTTGTAACACAACGCGACGAATTGCCCTCGTGCATCCTTCGATAGCGATTTTTCGATATTTATAAACCGATGTTCACCTCCCGCGATGCATTTCCTCATAAAACTTATACAGATTACAAAAGTTTCCTGATACTTAATTGAAAAGGTCTGCGAAGGCGGGTTTTTAGAGTGACGTATCACAGCTCTTATCTCAAGGCGTACTTGACTTATCAACTCGTATCAATCGCAAACTCATTAACTCCGATAGATATACTTTATCTAAGCGTCATAGATATATCGTCGGGCTGTTTGTCCGATTATGAAACGCACACGTTTCGAAAGATGAGGGAGTTATTTGAGTGACATTGTTCCCAAGGTGTTCAAACATTGGAAGACCTGTTAGGGCCACCTCTTGGCCGACGCGAGGACGGTAATTTCCAGTCAGGCAGCATCTGCCGTGGAAGCCAATGCCCGCATCGACGTCGATACTTCGCCATCAGCTTCCAATTATCATACTCTTTTTCCTTCTACTTCGCTTTTTTCTCGGTCGCGTGATCGTTTCGATGCAAAAGTTAACGCACGACAGCGCAACTTGTTCGCGATCGTTTAATGCGAGCTGAATTAAATTTATCATCGATGAGAATAGGAGAATAAAAGCTAACTTCCGCAAGAAAAAGTCGAAAGATGTTTTTCCGAAATCGTCTATTTCTCATCGGCATCGCCGATAAAAATTGCGAAGAAATTTATATAAATAAAGTCTAACATAATAATACAATAATACAATTCAATTTTTTTTAGTGAGATAGTATATTCACTTAACTATTTTTGTTATTAATTATTGAAAAAGAAAAAAGTTGTCTCGTTTAGACTTACTGTTGTGAAGAAAAAGAGAAAATGCAGTAAATACCGTTTTATAACATTCTTACTGCGCATTTTCTGAAACGTCTTCAAGAACCTCTAAAAAATGGGCACGGTAGGGGGCGTTGCTAAGTTAAGTTCGAAGGATTTTAGACCCTTTTGACGTACAAAATATGCAGCAATATATGCTTTTACAAAAGGCGGAATTACTGCAATATTGGAGGTTAACAATTTGATGTTTCCTGAAGTTTCCGTAATATTTTCGTTGAAGAGCGAAGAGTGCCCTTTTTCTCGAAGCTCTTTAATATTGATCTAAAAAAATTAATTTAATATGAAAAATGTCTTTATTATATATTCAATAATATATAATAATGACATTATTATAACAGAATAAGCCGTACTTTTTTATATCGAAAATATAGCGAGAAATGTCAACTGCGGATTTCATTAGACCGCAGTGTGCTAAATTAAAAATGATATTAACGCGCACGTAAAAGCCGGTTTTTCACAAAATGCAACTTTCGTCGGAGCGCGGAGCTCGACGTTTCACGCATCATTCTTTTTTATGATTATGTCTGTAAAAAAAAAAGGGGGATAAAAATCAGTTTTGTACGGCACAGTATCTTTCGCTCTTCGATCCGCGTCTTACATTGTGTCGACTATCGTTCGTTTACTGTTTTATTTTACGGCATCTGCAGAGAGCGCGAGTCGTAATTTTTCGGCCGTAAAATGTTAAGTTCGAGGTCTGGAATAAAGCGTGTCTTTGCCGCCGCATTTTGAAACATTTAAACGCGCAGAAATATTTCACAAATTTTCCCTCTGTCCGACCCTGCTTCGCTCGTTTGCCCTTCTTCTCTCGCCCAGTTTGTACAACTTATACGGCGCAGCCGTACGGCAGCATTGAGCGAATTGCGCGAATGCACGGACCGCTGTGTTTTTCCGTGACTTCTCGTTAAACATTTGCGCGACGAACCCGCTCAGGGCTCGCACGACGGTCTTGAATTACGCCGTGAACACCGGTGTTCGTGGCGGGTTTAGGGCTTACATTTATAACCCGTCTTACATGTTGATCCAAACTCCTGTTCTTCGCCGGTAGAGCCGGCAGTTTGAATGCGGCAAACTTCTGTGTAAATTTTCTCAATCTCTTGCGAAAATTCCCAAGAAGCGAGAGGCGTCGAGTCCAAAATTATCGATATATTTAAGCTGTTGCGCTGCAATGAGAGAAACGAGTTTTATAAATTATGATTGAAATTCCCAAATACGATTAGTCAGAGCGATGCAGGAAACGTAACAAGTATAATTTTTGTAGAAATTAGTTTGAAAAATAAAAAGTATTTAGATAAACAGCAAATATCCACGCTGTTTTATATATAAATTTCGATCGAGTTTGATTAAAAGTTATTTATTCAATTGATTTCGAAAATACATATTTATGATTTTGTATCTTTGTCTTTTAAAAGTATATGTATTTTATGTTTACATCTGTTTTCTCTTCTCAAACACGGATTTTCGAACGAAAAGAGCATTCATAGCCACTGAATTGATCGTATATATTCATTCTCATTCACCTAATTACTCAGCGATTCACTGTTACACGCGCGGATCTTGATAACAGTCGGCGCAGTGTCTAATTATTCTCTTTCACGAAACGTTCGTCAGTCTTTATCTTGTCCCGCTAGCATCGCTATTCTTAGAACTTTATGCTCCCGCCTTCATTACAGCGTTTCAGAGCACATACTCCGGTATGTGTTCAAAGTTCCGCCTCTCGCGGAATTATTATCGGCTATTAAAAACTCATCGAACTCGTCAGCGAAGTTCGCGGTGAATTCGACGAGAAATTTTTAAAGCTTTATTGGAAACTGAAATTACACCTGTTGGTTCCGTTACAAAATCAACTACCACATTCATTACACATACACGAAATGTATGTTTCTGTCTTCCGTTTTTTATTGTACAGCAAATAGGAGGACTCGAAAAAACGGAGAGACTAATTCCACGCTAGATAAGAGTCTTATTTGGAAAGGAGACCTCTGAATCGCTCTGTTTAACATTTCCAGTCCCACGTTCAGTTTCACGCGCTGTTGCGATAAAATTATCTGCTTATAAAACGTCGTTTAACTTCATGCAGAATTCTTATAATTCTTATAATATTTTTTTCGGTTAATTTAAAATCTTTTTGTAGTTAGTAAATTTAAACTGATAAACGCGAATTAAATAACCGGAGGTTATAAAATATCGATATGCATAATTCCTACAATTTATTTGCAATTATACATTAATGCGATAAATAAAAATCTGTTTTATAATTACATTTCTACATTACATTTGCATTTGTGTCATTTGCAAGAAATAATTATACTCTTCTTGCTCAAAACAAATTTATATTTGACAAAGAATCTGATTTAACTCCCGAAATAGTAAATCAACGCTTTTGCTCCACAAATAGTAATTAAAATTGTGACAGATATGTATGAAAGTGTCTCGAACAAATAACAAAGATTCCGGAACGAGACACTCGTATATTGTAAACGCAACCCCACCAGAATTTCTGGATAAAGAGACCCAGGTGCGATTGTGCCCTGCGACCGGATGTAACGAGCGATTGTAACGAGCGTCCCTGTGCATGTAATTACTGGCAGGTGTGAAAACAAATCGAAACTCAAAAAATCCACAACAAAAAGGAAAATAGTTTGTACGTTGTAACTTGAATTGCAAAGGGGAATTATTGCAAAACATATGAAAATGAAAAAAATTACGATAATGAGTATTAAATTTAATTTTAAATACATTACCAATGCATATGCTTTTTATATCAGTGAATTTATATCTTATTATTGATGATAAAATGTTTCTTATCTCGGAATTTATCGCATCCACTCGCATTTGTCGATAACCGATTAGCATCGAAATACAGAGAAAAGACGTGAGTCTATCACTAAAATAAGCACAAGCGTAATGGAATAAATTTGAAATACGTGTCTGATTCGATAACACTTTATCGGCAATCGGATAAGAATTAAAACTCTTTATGCATTTAATTCAATTGCGAGAAGAATGTGTGACAATCGCGCTGTAATATCGCGACCGAGGAAAAGTAAGAAATATATGAAATAATACAAAATATATATGAGTCGATTATGACTATCAAATTTCATTTAAAAAGTTGGATTTCTAAAAGCATTACTTAAAAAATTTATAGGATCGCGAGATTTAAGAGAATAGTTTTATTCCGGTCCCGTAGACACTTTATTACAAGAAGAAAAATCTCCGATTTATTCTCATCTTGGAAATTTCAATTTATTATGCATATCAAAATGATATATTTTGCCGCCTAGCCCCAGCGAGCTAAGCTTAAATAATAAAGAATACTTTTTTTTTATTTTAGCAATATATCACAATTTTATTTCTCAACATAAATATCATAAATTTATTCGCTTATTTTCTGATATTACAAGAAAACAATTATTTTAAAATAATTCACAAACATCTTCAATTATCCGTTTGAAATCTCCTCTCGAACTTTGCAAGTTTCGCAAATTTGATTTTATCTTGCGCCGGTTGTTACCGACGGTGGACATCCTTCTGCACGATCGACATTTGGTATAATTTCACCCGTTGTACACCCGTTATGTACCTGGTGGGAAAAGAATATTCACGTGAGAGTTTCTTGATTTCTAACCGAGTCTTCCTCCCCCTTGGATGTTTTAGCGAGCAGTCGACGCCACATCGCCATCTGCCTGGGACTCTGCGAGGTTCCCTGAGCCATTCCCATAATCACCACCACAATCATCCCCACAGACATGAACCACCAGCACCACTATCACCGACGACGTATCTTACACCCCCACCGCCACCACCAGCATCGAGTTACATCGCGGTGCAACGCGGTTGCGCTCTGCATTCGAGGTGAGTCAGTTTTTATTTAGATGAAATAATATATGCTTTTAATAGTACAGACTCTGTTTGGACTCCCAAGATCGATTAAAGAACTATCGATTTCAGCCTTAATTTGCTGCTCATATGTCGATATAGTTTATTTTAAATTTAAAATTAATTGTAAATTGTGTAAAGTCGTACACAGAGAGTGGAAAGTCACAAAGAGCTAAGCATTTATTATATTTTTGAACATAAGAATACTAGACTCTTCTTCCGCAATTTTATTATCCGCGTGGTATTAATATCTATATTTATTATACGAATATATGCTATTAAATTAATTATTTTTTTATTGTTAATTAAAATATTAATTCTACTACATTCCACTCTTACCGCCGCGAGGCACACGCTTTATGATTTCAATTCCACAATTGTAATGAAATCTTTATGCAAGAAGAGAATGCTAAATATATTAAGAGCGATATATTCCCATCGGCGTGATGACTATTCCTTTCGCGTGCGCAATAGAGATAGAGAGAAAGAGAGAGAGAGAGGGAGATGCGCAAAAATATTGAAACTCATTTCTCTCGTGAGGTGTATCTAGTATTCGAAGCAATACGCAGCATGACGCGAACGAAATACGAACGGATTGATTGTGTTGCTTTGCTTATTGCGGATCCTATGATAGTACGATGAGCTCTTCTATTCGGTAATGTGCCGCGGATGATCGATCGCGTCGCGTGTTCGGCAACGATTCATTTCGTGTTGGAAGTTCTTAGTAACATTAGATTTTAATTACGACTTCGATCTCATTGGCCGTGTATTATTCCACTCTGTTATCGATTAAGACTCTCTTCCCGAAGCACTAGAACGGTTCTATCCAAATTAGATAAAAATATACGTGCTAAAAGTTTTGTGAATACGTTTAATAATTTAAAAATATACGCGCTGAAAGTTCTATAGATATGTTTAATAATTAACACGAACTACATAAAGCATGATCTAGAAAAATGGGATGAAATCACTCAAAAAAATATTTCGCTGATGTAGTTAGATTTCTAGATATCGCAACAAGAATGTATCGCTATTTTTCGTATCTGTGAAAACATTGTTTGTCACATATAGAATTTATAGCAGTAATGTTCTAGCAATAGCTTCTGAAAAATTTAGGTACCATTGCTAAATGTTATTCATTGCATGATCTAACACGTGATTGATCTTATGTAGATAGGCGCTTTAGAGAAACTTTCTTTTTAAAGTTCACAAACAATACAGATATATATTCTGTTTCTGTCATCTAAACTGATTAAGTAATTACATATGCAATATCACAACAATTGCTAATCATTTATCTGTTTTAGTTAATTTTTTACACCTAGAAAATTTTAGCTATTATTGCAAGATCATTTTTTTAAGTGATAATTGATGATTTAAATGATTGAATTAGTTATGTGCCTTGTGCAAGTATCAATATTCCAAGGAATTGATTGAAAGATTGAAAGAACATTTACGCGATATCGAGTAATTCATATTTAATTACGAACCGGAGAACCGATGTGTTTTATTTTTCAAGCGTTGACAGCCGGAAACATCGATTTGTGTCTTTCGAGTATATATACACACACATATATATATATATAAAATATATCACGCGTCACGCAAGAAGTAAATTTATCAAACTAATAAACTCTTTTATCTTTTAACTGAGATATTTCGAGCAACTTTTATGCAATCAATATCATATGACGCGCAACCGTTACGACTGTTTTAGACGTCCCTATGCTGGAATTTACCCTCAGCGCTTTATCCTAAAGCTGGAAAAAAAGGGTCATATTTTTCTAGCCGCCACGCGGTTAAACGAAGTTTCACAAGCAGGCAGCATCGCCGACCGAGCGGTCAATTTTTACATGTTTTTGGACACTTTAAAAATTATTGGCGCCTATTAAAATTTTGCGCCCTACGCTGGAGCGTGTATTGCGCACTGCCTTGCAACGCCCTCCGTGCGCAACGTATTAATATATATTTTATAAACATTTTATTTTGGAAATATTTTAATATGGCGCGCCACGAACCGTACGTTTAAATCCGGAAGTTAATTCTCCAACGATCAGAAGCAACGTAATTTCGATTTCTGCATTTACTAGAAGCAAATCCCCGTTTTCGTCCGTTCGGCTGTTGCAATACACGCGATGAACTGCAAATCGGGTCCGCAGATCACGTTTTTCCAGCGCCGGGATTTCGAAGGAGACCTCGATATATGTACAAATTACGGGCGGTCAAGTTGTTCGTACTATACAAGTCGTACAGCCGACGAGGAAATCCTCCTCGTCTTTCGCGTGCCACGATAAAGAAAATAAAGAGCTTCCTGCGTTTCCCCCGTCGCTCTGCCCCTCCTCATCCTTTATCCCCCTTTTCATCCGCCGCTCCGCTTAAATAATCAACGGCACGGAAGAAAGCGTCTGCTGTTTCTGTTTGACGTAACAATTTTTATCTGACAATATTAATATCGATTCTCGATTAATGATACGGATTTTACAGCTCACGAATTACAGAAGTTTTTCAACGAACTAAAAATAGACTTTGCAGTAAATATTTTTAATAAATACCTCCTTTTCTTTTCTTTTCGCTGAAACTTTTACGCTTTACAACTCGCAATATCTCAAAACGACGTTTCTTGTTAACTGAAGATACCGTAAATGCCGTTTAACGCGATACGGAATACGCTGTTGATAAAGCTCATCCTTCGCTCGTGAACTTAAGCCGCATAATGTTATTGCGTAATTAGATCGACGTAGTTTGTTATTAGAACGAAGGAAAAAGGATTCCCGGAAGTTCGAAGAACGTGGAACTAGTTCAGCGCTCTCTATGTTTCGACGAGGTTCACGTTCACCTCACGTTAAATCTCGCACGGTGTGTCGAAATTTTCGCTAGACGAACATATCATAACTTCATCTGGATATCCGAGCAGCTTCTCAACTTTTTAACTGCCAGGTTTTATCACGATGTTGTCGATTGACGACAAACTCTCCGCATTGCTGTTGTACGAGTCGTAAGACTATGAACCAGTCGAAGTGTCGTATTGATTTTACGCGAATAGATGCGATGCCAGCAAATAACAATCGTTGCACTTTCCAGCTAATTGAGCAAATAGAAACCCAGTGGCATATAAATCAAGTGCTTCAACACATTTTTGGAAAACGTTTCGATCACCGATGTGATCTTTTTGGAATGTTTTTAATATTACAGCACTTTAATTCACAGTGTTTATACAAAGAACGTGATCGGCGTTTTCTTGTATTAAATTTCAATAAATCTGAAAAGAATTATATTACAAGTAAAAATGTAATACGCAATCGCATCAATACGTCGATATTGTGGTCAAGTAATCCAGCATCTTCGAATGGACAGCTTGCGGATGTAATTTTTTCACATTTATTGAAATAAATTTAATAAGAGAAATTCCGGTCACGTTTCTTTTTAGACACGCTGTATAACAAATTTCTTTATAACCTCGCGATCTCGTGCAATGATGTGTTCAGCAGGCAGAATGGATTAACAAATTACAAAGTAAGAGAAAGAATTTGATTAATGTTCTGTCACACGCAACTAACAAATAAGACTCCGTCGCGAATATTTCCGCAATTTTTGAATGCCACGAACGAAAGCGGGAAATTAATTTTTAATCGGGTCACCGCGCGACTTCTTTCGTTTGCGGCGAGCGGTTTCCCTTTAATTTCCGCGCGGGTCGATTCGTCGTAACTTTTGCGCAGTGTCCACTCGCGAAATGTATCCCGAGATGCTCAATGAAAGGCGAGACGTTACTCCTTGTCGCGCTGTGTACGTGCCGTACATCTGTCTCGTGCCATCTCCACCATAACGGCGCCAAGAGTTTCGTCGCGCCATTACTTTTCATCTCTTATCCCTTCCTCCTTTTTTTTCACCCTTCCTGGTCTGTCAGTGAACGCGTCCGCTATTTGCAATCCCGGATTTTCCTCTCGTTCCCTTCGTAATGGTAGAAGTAAATTCAATTGTCTCGTACATATTGCAGCAGCGGCTCGCTGTTTGTAGTCGGTATATTCCTCGTTTGAATTTCGGTCCTTGCTTTGTGTCCTTTCTGGAGATGCCGTCATACTGTAAATTGCTCGAGTTATTTTTACGGTACGCGTGGAATTGTCTTTGGCGCTTGAGATCGTGGATTGCCTTTGTAACAATATCCGACTATAATATTTCTTTCATACTTCTGCTTTGCATTAATGTAACTAATAACGCAATTCTAAATCAATTACAGTTTTATGATAACAGACAGCGTTCAAGATGATTTATTAAATTTATCGTATTCCGCATGTCAATCGCGAAAATCTGAAGTCCGCGTTCTGGCATTTTAGATACAATCTTTCTATTTCTTTAATGTGTCTCGTGGCGAAAAGGTTCAGTAATTTCAGTAACACGCGTGCACTCTTTCCCTCGCCTCTAGAAAGCGAGTGATAACGCGTGATTAACGCCCTCGTTATCCGTCACGCTCGGCACCAAGATTTCTTGCTTTCCCGTTCTTCGTTCCTGCCGCCCGCAATAGGTCGAGGTTCGACCTGGACGAGTTTCGCTTACCTTGGTGGAAATTTCGCTTCCGTTCCCACTTTTCGCGCCCCGTCATTTCTCTCTTTCCCGCGGTGCCGTTACCGCGTCCCGCCTATCGCCCCCGTTTAAACGACAGGGCGACGAGCGACGACGACGAGAGAAAAATGCGCGCGACGAAATTACCGCGAGCCCTGGACGCTTCGTCACTTCTCTCCTCCGCGATTAAACGCTCCCGATCTGTCGGCCGCCGAGCGGAAATTTTCCGCCGTGTCTTTTCGCTGGCTCTATTCCCTCTGTACTCTTTTGACGTCGGAAATCGGGTCATGCGCGAAATTAGAGTCAGTGGAAAGACGAGAAACGCCGGCGATTCGGAAAAACGGTTTATTGATCTCCGACGGAACAATAAAACAAGCCACGACGTAAATCGATACCCACCGGCGCGACTGACCTTCCGA